GTGAGTGTATACTGTGCTGTACTATAGTTCAGTGTGTGTTAAAATTTAATAAAAAATATTTTGGAAAAAAAGAAAAGCTTGTATGAGCAATGCAAGCAGCAATTTTTAAACAGGCCGTATATGAAGAGAAATGGGCTCATGCATGCTGTCGCACGTGTTTAATAGGCGTTCTGTCTCGAGAGCAGATTCAGTTTGTGCATGTGCATTTTTTTTTAAGTGGAGGGAGCTGGGCCTTTTAAAAATATGCAAAAATCCTCCCCTATACCTTTAAGAGGCTTTTAATGTAAAATGTAAAACTTTTAATTCTTTTGCTTTAAAGAAAGGGCAAAGCATGTTTTCCAAAGCAGTATAAAAACTTCTCAAGCACTTTACTCTCTGAGCTTACTTTACTGAAAAGGGAAGTCTTAAAGTCTGCATGCAAACACAATCGTGGATTTATTTTGACTTGTTTATCAGATAACTTTCCTACAAAATGCCTACATTTCTATTTGATATATTATCCTTAATCTGCCATCTAACCTCAATGATAACCGTGAGTCATAATACAATAGAAACATACTCATCACATCACCTGTCATCATTAAAGTGACAAATCTGGTTTAATTACAACATAAGTATTTATCTAAAGCATCATTAAGCAGCTACTTTAACTCTGCTTTCATCACCAAAATGTTTTGAAATCCATTTGGAGAATGTTTAAGCAACAAGGTTGCAGTTTCAATCAAGTCCCTTTTTCTGGAGGGAATGATCCATGAATCCACTTTTTTTTTTTTTTTTTTTTTTTTTTTTTTTTTTTTTACTTATTTGTGTTTCTTTGGAATAAAATCATACTATTCAGATATTTTATGGCTCTCTGCAGTGTCGACATTATTTTTCTATTGCTGCATTTCTTTTTAAAGTTTTCATCACATAACAAGCAATCTAAAATAAATCACAACAAACTAAGCCCTTTATCTATAATAATGCATCATGCAACATAACCTTTCCTTAATGATAAATTTTAATATAAGAAATTATTTAAACCCTTAATTCCCTTCAAACATGCATGAAGATAAGGGGGCAGCCAGGAGCTTATTTCAAAAGATCTCCTTGATGTAAATGCCCTCTCACCTTTTCTCCTTTGCTACCACGTAAGCCTTTTGGACCCTAATTAGAAGAAATAAAAAAGCAAAAGAATCGAACAAACAGAGAGGAATGTTTGCTACAGTATTTATGAAGAATTTAAAAGATCCTCACAATAAGACCCGGAGTTCCTTTATTGCCTGGTGTGCCCTTTTCCCCCTAAAAAGGAATGTAACAATCATCATAAATTGATATCTCATAAAGAAATACCTATAAGGACTTAAACTGGATCAAGAGAAGATGAGACACTGTATGAAAGAGCTCACCGTTCTCCCTGGTGGACCAGGCAACCCTCTAGCACCAGGCTGTCCTGGAATGCCATCACCCTGATGACACAATTGTGTGTTTATTATTATTTAACAGAGAATAATAATAATAAAAGAACTCTTAAAAACTAAAAAATTATATGCAGTGTTCAACTCCAACAGCTCTTAAGTGAGCATTGAAATAGTTAATTGTGTTTGACAGGGATCAGAAATCAGAGACCAAATCAGGAATGAGACTTTGAACCACAGTATGAGTCAGAAAATCAATGGGCAACCAGTAAGTCTGAAGCTTTTAGTTTATATACTAATGAGCTGAAACAAGTACATTTTATAAGAATGGTTGCAGCAATGAAAATATTATCGTTTCAGGAATGCTGTTGTAAATAGTCAGTTGGTTTGGCCTTGATGCCTCAATGACTAAATCTTATCTAGACTTGGACTAAGGTTAGGGTTAGGTGCTACAAGACAACCTGCTGTTATTTGCTATAAAGATCACAATGCTTATGCCATGGGTATCAAACCGGTAAAAAAATGTTTCTTTACAAAAAATAAGGGAAAAATTATGAGGGGATTCTAAGCATCGAACAACAGTTTCAGACTTGCCATAGCAGACTAAAAACACACAACATTTTAATCAGTAGAATAAAATACAAAATAAACCTTGTAGATTTTGTTGATTTTCATGCATTCAAACACTAAAGAAATGCATTTAAGAACAGACAAAGTGTAGCGTGAGCCAGTGGTTCAATAATATCCAAAGCATTGGTGCATACTGTATATATGATTTATGCAGACTTTAAGTGTTTTCCATGCCAGTTTTAATTACCATTGTACTCTGGCTGGGAAGAGAATTCACTACATTCTCATTATTTAGACTGTGAGGCTGAAATTTTAAACTTATACTGCAAATCTGGAAATCAAAATAAAAAATTTATGATTTTTGCAATGCAACCAAGGACTGTGTTAATACCTTTTCTCCTTTAACACCAGGTAATCCAGGAAGACCCTTAAAAGAGGACATGAAAACTTTAGCTTTCATGTGGTCCACTTAGGTATGGTATTGTAAAAGGTTAAAATTGGTTTAAAAACTGCTAATTTCACATGATAGCAAAAACCTAAACAATTAATGTAAAGAAAATAGGACACCGTATTAATTCTTAATCTGTTTATAAACCAATGTTCCTATATTGATGTTTAGTTTAACTTAAATAAGGTGAGGTACCTGAACTAAGAAAAATTAAGTTGTTTTACTTAAAAAAAAGGTGCTTTATGATGAGCCTACTTCTGATGCATAATGCAGGAATGTATTAAAGCCAGCCTTTGGGTGAGATAACTTCAGTGAGATGATTCATGTAACCATCAATCAGTCTCTGACATTGGTCTAAGGAATGTTTGCCCCTTGAATCCTTGAATTCGCCTGAGAGGTGTTTGAGAAGTGTCTTTCATGTAAAGACAGTTTCAAGTCACCGTACAGAATCTTAATAAGACCCAGAATTTGGCTTTAGGACTTGATGTCTTAGTTTTCAGCCAATCCTTGCTGAATTTACTGGTACACTTGTAGACAAAATTGTTGTTATCCCTCTTTTAATTTAAGAAAATCGTACACTGGTCACAGAAACGCCCTGAATCTGAAAAAAGTAATATTAAACAAAACTTCTATGAAAATGAACAAATTAAAGTCAGACATTGCTTTTTAACCATGCTTCAACAGAATAATAAAAAAAATAAACCCATTAAACAGGCCTTGACAAAAATAATGGAAACTCTAGAAAAAAACTGAAAACACTGTGACAGTAGGAACATGTGAAATCAAGGTGTGTCCACTAATTGGCATCACAGGTGTTAATCTTGTAATCAGTCAGTGGGGCTATATAAAGGGGTTCAAGCAGTCACTGGGTGTTTTCGATTTCAGAGGTTGCATCCTCCAAGGACCCAGTCTATCTGTGCTGGGGTCCTTCAAGGTCCATGAAAATAAGGACTTCGGAAGAGTTTGGTTATGGATTCAAACAGGTCCAGCCTTCTCGGGCTTTCATGCGCGTGCGCTCTGTTGCCTGGCAACCATGACAGTTGACACAAAAAGCAGGTAAAGAATGAGTACCAAACTTCTCATTACTGTTCTGTTTGCTAATTACATTGTTGAGGAGCTTCAGCAGCAGTACCATTGTCATGAATATCAGATTTATAGTCCCCACACTGCACAGATATTGTAATCTCTGCTTAAATGTCAGCCAAACTAATTTCAACAGGGAAGGAAAAAAAAAAACTTTCAATAAACCAAACATAACCCACCACATATCCGACTCAATAACTATTTAAAGCACCTAGTTTCATTAATTTCAGACGGAACTATTTACATACTTGTATTATACTAAACTGCACTTACAATATTCACCACTGTTTGGCGCCATTTCCCCTTTTCCTCTGAGCACAGAGCAGCTGGCCTGCTTGCACTTGCAATGAATCAGGGGATACCCAAGGCTATGTAGGACAAAATGGGCAAAAAGAAGGCTGCATTCATCGGCCCCATAAGTAGGAGTCTTCCAATCAAAACAGGCCAAGGCATTGCGCTACGAAGAAATCGGCCAACAAATCTGGCCTTCAGAGGATGCAGCCACTGAATTCAAACTTAGCAGCTATACTGTTTCGTGGCATGGTGTATACCACACTCAACATGGACTACAGCAAGCAAAGGAAAACGTTCTCTGAGGAGAATTGAAAAAAACTATAGACTAGCAAATTAAAGGTAAAGACTATTTGACCGGCTGCTCAGTGGCGCACTGGGTAGCACTGCTGCCTTGCAGCAAGAGTTCTTTCTGGGGTCTTTCTGCATTGAGTTTACATGTTCTCCCTGTGCATGTGTTGGTTCAAAAAACATGACTGTTAAGTTAATTGAGCTTAGGTGGTTAAATTCTTCTTAGGTGTGAGTGTGTGCGTGAATGGTTGTTTGTCTCTGTGTTCCCCTGCGGTGGACTGGCGACCTGTCCAGGGTGTACCCTGCCTCTTGCCCATTGACGCCTGAAGAACCAGAACCCCTCGTGACCTCACTTGGGATTAAACGTGTTGGATGGATGGATGGACTATAAGACCATTTTCAAGCAGATGATGGCTAAAATTGCACATATTATTCAGAAATTTAAGATCCGTATGTCTGCAGCCAACCTCCCTGGATGAGTAAAACTGATGAATCAGAGAGATGGTAACATGGTAAAAAAAGATCCCTGAAAAATTTTAAAGAGATTAAAGGTAAACTTCAAGCTCTAAAACCATTGGCGTCAGATCGTACCATCCCCCGTTGTTTGAACGAAAGCGGACTCAAGGAGTTATTATTGAAAACAAATCATAAGAACTAAAATTTGTAGGAACGCATGTAGACAAGTCACAAATTGAATGTCATAGACCAAGACAAAAATGTAACTTTTTGCAAAAGACACATCAGCTCTCTGTTCAAAGTCAGAAAACTGAAGCATATCAATAAAAGAACGTTGTCCCTACTGTGAAACATGGAGGAAGCTCTGCTGTGCACTGGGGCTGCTTTGCTTCATCTGGCACAGGGTGTCTTGAATCTCTGCAGGGTACAATGAAATCTAAAGACCATTGAGGAACTCTAGAAAGAAATGTGCTATCCCGTGTCAGAAAGCTTGGTGTCATGGGTCTTGCAACAAAATACTGACACACAACTAAAAACACCAGAGAATGACTAAGAAGAAACCGTTAAACAGACTTGAAAGGCTCCTGTCCTAAATCATATTGAGCATCTCTGGAGGAGCTGAAACATGATGCCTGGAAAAGGAACCCTTCAAACTTTTCATGAAAAGTTACAGGATATTTTTTTAATGCAGTGATTGATTCTTAAGGTTGTGCACCTAAACATTAGGTTAAGGGTACCATCATTTTCCTCTAGGTTTCATGTTTTTTTTATTTTTTATTTTTATCACTCTGTTGAAGCATTACAAGCATTTGAAAAACAATGTCTTACTATAATTTGTTCCTTTTTATAGAACATTTTATTTATTATTACTTGTGTCAGATTCTAACTCAATCTGTCAATTTTCAACCAATGTCATTTCTCTGGCTGTACATACTGACAGGTTTATTTGGTGGAGGTTTTTTTTGCTATTTATGTTCAGGTGAATTTAGTTAGTTTGGATATTGGTGTTTCGTTTGGTTTATGTTAACTAGTCTCTTTTGTGTGTATTTAGTTTATTCATTTATTGTTGTTTGTCAAATTGTCTCAAATAAATTCCTATTCATTCATTCAAATTATTTCTGTGAAAATTGTTGTTTTTTTCCGCCATTACAGAGCGGTACCAATTATTTCGTCCACATGTGTATGTTTCAGTTGTTCAGGTCTGTTGTAAATCTTATTTTTCTCCCTAGAAAGTCACATATTTTTCTCAAGGATCTTCTGATATACAGGATTTCAGAGTGGATTATATAAGGGTAATCTTGCCAGATCCTACAGCAGCAAAGCTTCCCCAAGACATCCCTAATCAATCTCCATAACTCACAGCTGGTATAATATTTTCTTCCCTGAAAATTGGATATTTGTTTCCTTCTTCTATTTAAGTTAAATTCCTGTGGTCTTTACCTGATCACACAAGTCCTGTGATTTCTTTTTAGGAGTTTTGGAAACTTCCTTTTGTAACTTCTTGTATATCCTACCCCTATGGAATATAGTCAGATGGATTTGGATGCCTTCTAGTTACAAAATATTTTCAATTCTGACTGATTTCAGATAATTTACAACTTCATCAATCCCCTTACTAAACTTACAAACTTGTGCCATATTTGTAAGGGCCTGATATTCCGTGTATGCCTGATAAAGTTTGTTTGTTTGACCAGTTTTAGTTATTTGTTCAGTTTTAGTTATTTGACAAGTTTTTTCTGTTAAAATGTATAAGAATTATTTCAAATTCATCTATTTTTATATACAACAGGCTTATATAGGGTGTCCTATCTTGTTCTCTTAATAAAACTGAAATGAAAAGATAAGAATATGAGATAAAGGAAAGTATTTTATACATCAGGTCCTGGTGGCCCTCTAGGTCCTGGAGGTCCAGATGATCCATTCTTCCCTCTTTTACCCCGTTCACCCTACATTTATAGAAAATCTTTATTGAATAAAGTCTATATACATTTATAGAAATTAAATATCAAATATGCAGATTTATTCAACAGAGAGATTAGCTCAAAGTGCTTTTGTTACTATTTTTATGAGGATTTACATCTCTGCCTGGTTCTCCTGGGTCACCGGGATGCCCCTTAAATCCTGGGGAGCCATGAATTCCTGCATTTCCACGAATACCTTGGATGCCCTGCGCTCCTGGAGGTCCTGGTTCTCCTGGCTCACCCTGAGGGAGCATGGCAAACCAATATGAGAAAAGATAAAATCTTACGAATTGAAAGATTACAAGACAAACACTCAGATAACCACTTGTTACATGCAACGTGATTATTTAGCTCCTTCATCACATTTGAATAATTGGATTCAGCTCAAGTCATTCTAGCGAATGAAAAGCTCAAGCACAAGTTAAAAACGTGGGGGTGAGCCACAGGACCAATTAATTTCCTCAAATTAAAACTGCAGTGAGAAACAAAATTAATTAAAACAAATGTTATAGAAGACTGCATGGATGAATTGATGTTCCAAGAATTTAACTTCCAAGAAGTAAGTTGTCAATTATTTGTTGGAGTAATGTTGGTATGTTTACTGTATATAGGGAATTTTTTACCTTTTGCCCTGGAGGACCAGCTTGTCCCTCTGGTCCTCTATGGCCAATGCCTGGCTCACCCTAAAAAAACAAAAACAGGTAATTGTCTCCAATATATTGACAACAAATACATGTGGTGATACAATTTTACCAAAAGCTTTACCTTTTGTCCTTTTTCACCAATTTCACCCTGAAAAGTATAATAAAGATTGCATAGTTGAAGAAATTAAATGAAGAATGACAACTTTTTATTTTCACCCAAATCAGCAAATTCAAAGGAATTACACAAAAAAACAAGGGTTGTCAGCATGTTTAACAAGGGGAATTATTAATGTCTGCTTTAATCTGTCTCAGAGTCATACAGAAATAGAGCAGAGACATCAAAGGATGGTGTTACTGACAGGCGAGACGGGAGACATGCTCTCCCTGAGCTCCGATAGCCATTATATTTTTATGAACTGGTGGCCCATTTCATGCAGCAAATATTGATCTTGGTTTATGTCCACATGATGATAACAACACTGACTTCAGTATAATCTGTGCAAGAATAAACATGACTCATCAAAAATAATCACATTATAACAGTTTTTCTATTTTTATTTGTCAAATTACAACCATAAACCCAAAGGTATTCTATTAGGTTTGTATTAAAAGTTAATCTATTTCAGTAAGAGCTGAAATTAATGGATGAGGGAACATTATTTTTCAAGAATTTTATAACAAATACATGAAGAGAGGTCTACATTTATTTTAAGACAACTTTAATCTTGTAGTATTGATATCCAAAGCCACCAACTGACCTCCAACAATAGCTAATTATTTAACAGAAAAAAATCAATGCGTTTCTATGTTGTTTTAGTGAAAACAGCTCTAGGTGTTCTGATTGGACGGAGAGTGTCTATAAAAATCTATCTCGAGGTGTTGGTACAGATTCTTGAACTAAAGTCTGGTTTGAATATTACAATGTTTCTATTTAAATCAATCCACTGTACCTCTGGCAATAAATGATGTCATGCTGGAAAGTGAACCCCTGTTATTTCAGTCTTTGTAGATTTAACTACACAGGGTGTTTTGCATGGTTTGATTTGCCACCTCCCTTACATAGCTTGTGGCAAACTGCAAATGGAAAATCATATGAATTTCCTGCATAAAGACTTTGTTCATCTATGCCTAAGAATTCAACTGCCCAGTCCTAAGCTTTGGATCTTTGCAACTCTTACATTGCTACCACGTTGCTTCTTAAACCAATGGTTGTCACGTTCTTGGTTCTGTTTTGTTTTACTTTGCTCCATGTTTTCTAGTTTCATTGGTTTAATTTCTATTTTGTTGTATTTTCTGGATATATTTGAGTTCTTAGGTTGTAATTTGTTGCCCTCTTGTGTGTTGGACTTCTTTTCCCTAGCTTCTTCCTAGACTCCTCTCTTCACACCTGCTCCCAATCTGCTTGTTAGTCCTCTCTTTGTTCCGCCATAAATATACTCCTTGTGCAGTTCCGCAGTGCTGGTTTCTCGTCTTACCTCGTCTCTCCTCGCCTTTCCCTGACTCCACATGCTCTCTCCCCCTGATGTCTCCATGTGTCACAATGGGCCATTGTTACTTGTATGTTGGCCAAAGTAGCAGCTAAACACAGGATCTGGTTTTCTACTTTGGTTTATTTTTGTTGTTTTGGGTGAACTGGATTTGTTTGGGTTGTGGTTCTTTGTTTGGCCACATCTTGTTTTCATTTTTGTAAAAAGGTAAATTGATTTCACTTTACAATATTTTGTTTTTGTTTAACTATTCATAAAAGGGACATTCATGGCTTAAAGATTTAAAATATTTTGAAATACTCACCTCTGCTGTTTCACTCTCCAAGCAGGTGTGCACAGGACTGTACCCTTGGATAATTTAAGAGAGGGGAGATTGATCTGATGTATGGTGTTTTCTTTATTGAGTTTGAGTATTTGTTTGGATTGAATTAAAATATTTGTTTCTGTATTGATTGGTAAAAGTATTTCTTAAGTAGTTGTTTGTTTAAACCAAAATTTCCTTTTCTTCTTATTGGGAAGCTGAACAGCCTTTTAAAAATGGTTTCTTTCAATTTAGTTCCTCCTCTATTTAAGAAACATGTCTGCCATTGTTCTTGGTTGGTGTGGTTTGGTTGATGTCCTGCACAAGAAGAAATTAAAGTTTTGTCTGCTGAAAACTCTACAAAGCATGTTCTTCTTTCAACCAGTTTGGGTCCCACCTCCAAGACTGCTTGGCCTCCTGACAAGCATGTGACACCATGTTTCTGGTTTGTTTTACATCTTTCATGTTGGATTTTTGGATTTCTGCCTATGTTACCTGTGTTAATACATTAAAACAATCGCAAGAACTCACCCCTGCCTCTCAGCCTCTGTATTTGGGTCCTCTAACCTCAAACCGAACCCTGATAATGGTGTCCTTCTCCACTTTGGGTAGACAGCCATCTCTAGGTTGAATGTGTAACTGTACCATGCATTTTAATATGATAAATGATGAAGAAGGCTTAATGTATACCATAGCATCCACCACATAGTTCAGTCTTCTATGTGCTCCTTCATCTTGCAGCAAAAAGCATTTAGGTCATGGTTGGGAAATTATGAAAGTTTTAAATTAATGCAGAAAAGATTGATGTGATATACTTCCCTGAGACAGTGTTTGTTTGTTTGTTCTTATTTTTTTATTGAGTTAAATTCAATTATTACAATTTTTTTTTAAATAAAGATGCCCTAAACCTGAAAAACATGCTTCTAAATTGGACCACGTCTGTTGTAGCAGGATAGGCAGTGTTGGCTCTTTAAATGTGTCTGGACTAAAATATCCAACCACCTGATGAACTATCATCTGTCTTTTACATGATGTCAATCAACACAATATCCAGATAGTTACTAATCAGAAAATAGACATGACGCTTCGGGGAATAAAGGGAAAGCTGAACTCTGTGCAACACTGATGGGTGCCAATAACTATCCAGGAAATGACAAGCTAGATTAACACAACAAAAAGGGTTTCCTGTATAAATATATCTTCATAACTGCTTAGTGCGCTGCTTCATATGACTAAACTGCTTAATACACAGTTAATCTCTGATGACCTGTTATCATCCATTCACATAATTCTATGCTTATCAAAATAATAAACATTTCAATCAAAATGTTGCTACACTAGAGGCTAAATTGTCTTGATGGCCTTTTACACCCTAATGACAGTTTTAACAAGACATTTGCACTCATCAAGGGAGGGACTGTCGTTTCAATTTGGGCTTGAAATAATACATTTTATGTGGCCTAACAAAAAATTCCAAGTTTTTAGAATTGCACAGGTCTTACAAATTCCCTGTAATGCAAAAGGGATAAAAAATATACATTGTCTTGTACATAGCTTGTCTAATTTAGATGTTAGAGATCGGCCTGTTTTTCAGTATAGTCCTGTTTCTCTGACTGTGGCTGGCTAGATGTGCCCTCTTTATCCTCTGAGATGGGAGCTGCCTCAGAGCTTGTCTGCCTGGCATTGGAGTTTCCTGGATAGAGACACCTGCGGAGCTATTTCACAGTTGCCTTTTGTATCTCCCAGGTCTCCCTTGAAAAATATATTTTATCTCAAGGGACTTCCTGGTAAAATAAAGGTAAAATAAAATAAAATCTCTGCTTTTACTATATCTCTGCTTCTGTCTTCTTGAACCCCAGTCGGCCTCAGCAGATGGCCGCTCACACTGAGCCTGGTTCTGCTGCAGGTTTCTTCCTGTTAAAAGGGAGTTTTTCCTCTCCACTGTCGCTTCAAGCATGCTTAGTGTGAGGGATTGCTGAAGATTCAATGAGTTGATGCAATCAACTGGTTTTCCTTAAATAGAAAACTTTGAATAGCGCTATATAGATAAACTGAATTGAATTGACAAGGCAATTTAATATAGCAAAATGT